TAATCCTCCTGGCCATTGCTTTAGTTCTTTAAAACATTTTAACTTTTACTCGTCTTTTTAGTTTTCTAAACTAATATGAGGATTTTTTTTTCAATTAAAAGAACAGTTTGAGGGCCTCCCTGGTGGTGCAGTGGGTTGAGCACAGTGCTGTGAGGCCATCCGCAGCCGCTGCAGTGCAGTTTCTATTCCTGGCCGGCCAGGGCGATACCCACATGGCTCGACAGACCTCTCCTGTCACGCCCGCTGCTCCCCTCAGCAGTGCTTTCGGTCCTTCTGCCTGTTCTGCTCCCTGCTCTGTCTCTGGTGAATCTCTCACCCTCCCACACCTCTGGCCTGTACCCCAGCTATTGTATAAATAAAAAATAAATCTTTAAAAAAAAAAGCAGTTTGAGTTTTTACTTCAAATAGGAAGAACTGATGTATTTATTTGAATAAATTTACTCCCAGAGAACGGAGCATGTTTTTGTTTGTTTTCATCACCATTTACACAAAATTGCTCAGCTAATGTTTCACTTTTTCCTCTTGTGGGATTCATCTCATTTTTGGTGTTTTGAGATAGGTACAATTTTTAGTTTCAGCTAATAGAGTAGAAGCAATAGAAAACCCTACTGATTTTTCCCATATTCATTCTATCCTAGCCTATATTACACTACAATATCTGAACTATTGGAGTTTTTTAGATGATTTCCTAAATTAACATATTACCTGGCAAAAAAAGTCATTTTGTGCTTTTATATTATTGGCAGACTCTCTGTTTCTGCTTTGTAGATGGATTGGTTTTAAATATAAATATTAGTGGTCATAGCAGCCATTCTTATCCAATTTTTTAAAAAGATTTATTTATTTATGCAAGAACCGGGGTACAGGTCAGATGCGCAGGAGGGTGAGAGGATTCACCAGAGACAGAGTGGGGAACAGAACAGGCAGACTGACTGAAATACACTGCTGAGGGGAGCAGGGAGTGAGACAGGAGAGGTCTGCTGCACCATGTGGGACCCTCGCCGGCCAGCTGGGATTGAACAGGCACTGCAGAGGCTGTGGACAGCTTCACAGTGTGGCACTCAACTGCTGAGCCACCAGGGGAGGCCCCTTATCCAATTTTTGATGTTAAGTGGAATGACTATAGATTTTCACCATTAAATAAAATGGTGGCAATTGATTTTAACATCTTGAGGTGGGAATTTAAATTGTCTTGTTAAAGAGTTATTCTTTCAGTCCTAGATAGTTTTATACAGAAGCAAAGCAGTTCATCATGGGCTTTCAAAATCATTTTCAATCATCACATTTTATCATTTTAACCATTTGAAATAATTGGGTAAATAGGTATCCTAATAAACAAACTGCCCTTACATTCCTGGCTAATACTAGCTACTTATGTTGGATTTGTTTAAGTATATGAAGGAATACGATTTAATGGAATTTTTCAAATTTAAGATTCCTTCACATACATTTCTAACAAATGTTCTGAAGCTTTCTTTAGCTAGGGAGGAGAGGCGGGCAGGGTGAAGCTCTTTTCTAGGAATTTGCAGCAAAGAGATTATCCATCATTTTATATGCTTCAAAACAATCTCTTACTTTACTAGATGGCATAAGAAATATGAGTTCCTTAAAGATTTCTACAAACTGGGCCTCCCCTGGTGGCGCAGGCGGTTGAGCGCTGCACTGTGAAGCTGTCTGCAGCCTCTGCAGCGTGGGTTTGATCCCCGCCACCCGGGGACAATCCCACATGGTGCAGCAGACCTCTCCTATCTTGCCTGTTGCTACTCGCAGCAGTGTATTTCTTCAGTCTGCCTGTTCCGTTCCCCGCTCTATCTCTGGTGAATCCTCTCACCCATCTAGCCTGTACCACAGTTCTTGTATAAAAATAAATCAATCTTTTTAAAAAAAAATTTCTACAAATCACAAAAATATGTAACATAGGGATCTATAAGAATTTTTATGAATTCAAAATTTTATCCCATAATTATCAATCAAATTATATTTTAATTTTCTTGTGCGTCAACTTTGGTAAAATTTAACTCACCATTAAAACTAATTTGTTTATCTTTTTGCATTTGTTAAAAAAAAGAATCCAAAACACATATCAGTAAAAGAGGAGGAATCCTGGACAAGGACAAGGAATCAGGTAAGTTTGGGAAACTTCGACTGAATAAAGTTTAGTAGGCTTGTTTACCACAGAACTTCTTAGAATTCTCTTTGGAAGAGAGTCCTTAAAGTTTCTCAATGAGAAAAACATACTAAGCAGACAGTGATCCCCAAACTTATTTTCTATGGAGCTATTTTGCCCTGAATAACTTGCAGATGGAACACACTTTGAGAAATGTCAGTTTACATGGTTTCCATTGCAGAGCAACAAAGAGACAAGTAAGTAGGTAGGTGCAGACATACAGGTTTTAGAGAACAATTTTTTAAAATATTGTATAATATTCCTATGAGTTGACCAGCATTTTTAAAGCAATCACATTTTGTCTGGATTTAAGTTTAAGTGCTCTCTTGACTGAATTTCCTTGTCCGCTTCGGTTGTGAGTCATGTAGAGGTCACCTCTGGTCAGTCAACAGATCTTCTTGAGAGTTCAACACAAACAGAGTCATTTCCCCTTGACCCTATACTCTGCTCAGTATCTTCCCTTAGGAATTATTTGCATATTTTCTCTTTAGAAAGGGTTAGAGTGCTGTTGACGACCATTTAGGAAATTCTGAATGAAGAGTAAGACTGACCACAACATCTGAGAGGGGAGGATAGTTCAGAAGACATGATCCACATGAGGAAAAACAGACACATTTCTACCAAACAACACTGTCCTTGCCTTATGGAACCATTCTTTTTTTTTTTTTTTTTGTAACGACTGCTTTGTTGACAGCAGTACAAGTCAATAAATATTGATCCCCAAACAACTCAGATTATTTATCAGATTACTGGTCCACTGAACCGGCTGATTGCTGGGATGACAAATTGAACTCAATCTTGCTTCTTGGGAAATGAAGCCATAACCAGTTGATATATGGCATATCCTGCTCCACCAACTATTAGAATCATGGTGGCCCTATACAGGAGGGCATCAGCTACCCCACCCTTTAGATGCACTGGAATTCCATTTTCCTCCTGAAACAGCTTTTGTTTCTCTGGAACTTTATTTTGTAACTGTCTGCATGAAGCAGTACTTATGGTCCTCTGGGTAATCTGACACAGAGCCAGCAGATTTCACAGCATCTTGGCTCAGTTACTGTCCACCAACCGCGCCAACTGAATACCAGGAACTTCCTGTGGAACCATTCTTAGTGAAGAACTTAAAAGGCTTGATCAGTGATACAGTGAAGGTGTAAATGATTTTTCGTTTTTGGAAACTGGGAGAGGAACCACAGTCTGACACACACTCAGACTCACACACACATACACACACGCTCCTAACTTGACTTAGGCAGAGCCAGAGAAAGAATTACCAGAGGAGAGAAAATAAAGTTCACCTCTTTCTTAATTCTCTCCAGACCCAGGGTATAAAAATCTGGATTTCTTGTTTAGTTTTTTGAATTGAGGTGACATTGCTTGACAATGCTGCAGAGGTGCAGGTTCCCCCTCTTCATATATCTGTGGCCACACTGCACCCACCCCCAAGGCACCCATAGTCCCCCACCACATGCGCTGTGTCCCCTCCACATTTTGCTCTACTGCGCTTTTCCCTCCGACTGCAGTAGATCTGTTGCTGAGCCAGTTTCAAAGGCTCATCACTGTAGCCCAATCAATGGACACCATTGTCACTCACACCCCTTAGTCCTTCCTCCAGGGAAGGGGGTGGCCTTTGGCTTTGTTTCTCTCTGTTTCACGTAAAAGTGAAACCAGGCATCATCTCTCTTTCCTGACTTAATTCATGTAGCATCATCTCCTCTAGCTTCATTCATCCCTGTTGTCGTCAATGGCAAGAGTTTGCCTGGTTTTAAAAATGTGAGGTGGCCCTACCCCTCTAGCTCCCTAAGACCCACCTTAATGCTGAGTCATGCTTGCAGTTTATTTAACCTGCTCACTCACCATAGAGTGTCACCAGGCAGGAAAGGCCATTTATCAGCCTGTCCGAGTGGGTTTCTAGCAGGCTTTTTAGACCTCACTAGACCAGATCAGCCAGGTCATGCAGGACCCAGAATGAGGAGAGAATAACAACCAAACTTTAAATGTCCTCACCTGGCTTAGGTACTAAACTTTGTATTTAGTACAAACTCAGCATTCTTAGTGGGCTCAGATAGCCATCAATTGTGAAGTAACGCAGATTAAAGGACAGAGATGAAAACAGGCCAGGTGAGTGCAGGTGTCTAAGTGTTGACTATGGCCCATAGAATTAAGGCAGGAACCACTTCCAGCATCTGATAAAAGGCCCACCCATACCACAGGCCCAGCTCTTGGAGATGAGTTCTATGGCCTCGATTCTCCAAGGTTCTGGAACTTGGCCTCTCAGGCAAGGAGAACAGAGGCCGCAGCCCCACATCAGGTAAGATAGGGAAAGGCCACCAGAAGGAGCTCTGCCCTTAGCTCAGCAGACATGGTCTTCCTTACCTCTGACCTCAGAAACAGCCTCTTAGTCTGGAAGAATCCAGCCCTTACATTCCCCTTGTGAAAAAAATAAAATAACAACCACCCACAATTCTCATTTTTGTGGAATTGGCCAAGGTAGCTTCCTATGAACTCTCCATACCACCAGACGCAGTGGGTGAATTGTCTGGAGGACCCTGCCTTGCTCCACTGTCCAGGCAGGTGTCAAGGTCACAGTCTGCCCAGGGGTTTTGAGAGAGGGAGGTGTAGGAGCACAATGGCCATCCCCGCCCCGGAGGAAGGGCTAGGAGGTGTGAGTGGCAGTGGTGTCCATTGACTGGACTACAGTGATAAGCCTTTGACACTGGCTCAGCAAGAGACTTTGTCAGTGGTGCACTTCAAGGGACAGGGCGGGTCACACTTTAATAGGCAAAAGTAAAATATGCACACTAGACCCGCCCAGCCAACATCATTTGCTCACCTCTGTGGGTAGATTCTTCAACCTTCTTTCCGTTCTGGAAAAAGAGAAGCTGCATTACTAACATGACCTTTGCCTCACTCCTCACCGGGAAACTGCACAAATGGCCCCATAAAGCATGTCTGCCCCCATCCCAGGTGCCTTTCCTTCACCCAGGAGCCCGCAGCTCCCTGCTGTGGAGGTGGGTGTGCAGGAGTGAGGCTCCCTGGCCTGTAGCTCAGGGCTGGCTCACTGAGGCTCCTCCTCTCGCCCCCAATCCTCCTCCTCCCACGATGCCCTTGCGTTCTGCTGCTTTTGTTTCCTCTCACCCTCACAGGACTAGCTGGATCAGGATGGGAGCTGGGGCAGCGCAGCAACTAGGAAAAGGACAACCCAGAAGTCCAAGACAATGAAATCACTTTCCAGAAGTGCAATTAATTTCTAGCAAGAAAAATGGTTTGTAATGGTGACTTACATTTTTGTTTTTAGTTCAGTGAATTGAAAAGACTGAAACTAGAGTGAAATAGAAAAGAAATTCCTTCTCTAAATCAATTCCTGGCTGCTCAAACTACCCAGGATAGACGACTCTCTGAAAGCAAAGATGCTGACCTTATGTTGTCAAATATGCACATATCTCTGATTTGCTTTAAATTGCATTCTAGTAAAATCCATTCATAGTAAATAAGGCCTTCTAAATATCTCAACTGACGCTAATTAAACTGTTCTCCATGTCTGGGCCGTGAGCGTTTTCAGGCAGGGCCCATGAAGGGCAAATGGCTGGTGGTGAGCAGAGCTGACAGCTTCACCTTTGCTTTGTGAAGGGACAGGCTGGCTTCACATGGGTGACCTGGCCTGACACTTTCATTCAGCCACTTGCTGTGTTATTTTGGACAAACTTCCTGAAGCTTTTTCCATCTATAGAATTAGGGACAGTAATAGTCCCTACCCTATGGGCATGCCATGTGAGCTTCTCACGGGGTAATACCTGCAAAGACAGAAAACAGCACCTGGCACAGCCACATACAGAAAACAGAATTTTTAATTTTTTTTGCTAATTCTGCTTGAATAATAAGGAAATCAAGGATAGTTTCAAATGAATTATAATGTCAAAATACTTTTAAAAGAGGTGATTCTTTTCCTCTTTATATATATGGGTTATTTTCTGAATTTTTTTTGCCACCAGAATGCAAATATAACAAAGATTTATTAACAATAATATATATATATAATTAGAATAATGTATTCAAATGACAGAAACCATTAATCAGCTTTTAGAAAATGTGCCTGACTTTCCAGTTTGGGGAGTGAACTTGAGACACACTCAAATCCTATTTTAACTTATTTGACATTAATCTCACTTATTTGAATTCAAGGTCAATAGCACAAACGCTGGGAGGGTGGATGTACCAATTTGCAAAGATGTTATTACCATCAATTCCTTTCCAAATTGTGGACAATAACACAGACACTAGCACCTCCTTAGGGTTGGAACTGAAGGAGAATGTGTCATCCAGCTAGAAATTATACAACACCCTATCATTTTCAATGTCAACTGCCTCAAATTCTGCATTTTGTATGAGCCAAATGAGCAGCTAGAATTAAGTCAACCCTTAATGTTTCAATTAGTTTTTGTGGACAAATACACAGAATACCATATTAGTAGCTATTAGTTGTGCCTATCAACTCACCCTAATACTATCAACACCAAGACTTTTGTAAAAGCAAAATAGTCACAGTTTAATACACAACGTTGCTTCTCGAGCAGAGACAAGGGAGTGTCATTCCCATATCCTCTTAAACAGTTACAAACAGAACTCCTTGTGAGTTCTTCACTCTAATTTTATTTTCTTCATCCTTATTATTCTCTTTTATTTGCATAATAAGTGATGATATCTGAAAATCCTTTTTGACCATTTCGTTTACTTTAAAAAAGCTATATCTAGAAAGCCAAAAAGTCTGAAAACATTTGCTTAGGAGATAAGGTGTATCTCCTTTCAAGATGTTTGGGGAAAAAATGGAATTTCAATTTCGCTGATGTCCTCTTTTGCTAAGATCTAGCAATTCAGTCTTCACCCTGAAATTTCTATATAAATCATCAGATAGCAGGATGATAAGGATGGTAGTGGTTGGTGGTTTTAAGGAAATGTTTCTGGAAGACTATAATACTTGTAATACTTATTTAGAATACTATACTCTGAGGAACTGAGTTATAAAATAAGTCCTTTGTAAAGAAGAGAGCAGATGTGTCCTAGCTGACGTAAGGAAGCGCTGTCACAATGAGAGAACTTTGAAAATCAATCGGCCCTAGACAGTTTGTGGGTTAATGGATCCAGGATACTCAGGGATTTCCGACCTGCAGCTGCAGCTTACTACCACCAGAGGGCAGATGTTTACACCTGTCCTTCATCGATGGTAACCGAGTCTGAGACAAGGGTGTCTCCTTGCCAGGAACCCCATTTTCTTCATCAATTTAGCTTTATCAATACCAAGTACAATACAAAAAGGCTACATATAAATATAAGAAATACATATTTTACTTTGCCAAGTGAAAAAGACCATGAGAAAAAGGGAGGGAAATGTGGGAAGTCGGATGACTTCTCAGGAGAGAGCTCGAACCAAGGCCAAGCAGTCTACAAGTCACTTTAGAGATAAGGAGAAAGCAAAAAATCTGGTGAAAAGAAAAAGCAATTGAAGAAATTCTGTGCCATCAATAAAGCTTTAAAATGTGTGTATGTAAGGAAAAGGATAAAGGAAACTGATAGAAAAAAATGATGCATTTGTTCAGGTGTAGGATTATAGAGATTATAACACTTTTGACCAGTAAAGATCCTGGGAAATATTTTCTTTGAGGGAGAATGACATCAAAACATCTATTTATTTATTTATTTTTAACTCTTTTTTAATTTAATGTATTTTTTAGGTCATTTTTCATTTTTGTACAATGTAGTGTGAAAGCTTTTGCTTATAGGCTTCAGAGCATAAGCAAACTCCATCCATTTCACAGAGCTGGCACTCACCCAAGTTTCCTTCATCAACAAAAGCACACCTTCTACCACTCAAGGTTGGCCCACCAAGTCCCTTAGACTAAGCACACACAACACAACATTTAGCAACAACAGTTACCGTTTTTTGTTAGTAATGATACGCCAAGTGTGTATAGAGTCTTTTGCTTAGCTTGTTTCAAGTCCAGTTTCTTAGGAACAAACATTGTCACCCAAAATGCATGGTGCTCCCAGCAGAGAGATATTCCAGAAGACAGCAGTGAGAGAAGTCCACACAGATGAAGATGGACTTTGGGCAGCGGGAAGCAGCTTCCAATTTGGATTCCTTTGAATTCTTTTTGATGCCTAATTGCTCTGGCTAGGATTTCTATTACTATGTTGAATAGGAGTAGCAACAGTAGGCATCCTAGTCTTGTGTCCAGTAAAGAAGGCACAGCCTCACCCAACCTCCAAACAAGCCCCACTGTACCCCTAAGTCACAGAGATGGGGCATGCTGGAAATACAAAGCATCTGCCAGGATCATGCCCACAAAGGACAACAGGCTTCCACAAGATCGAATGGAGAGCCTCTTCCCCTTGGGATGTCTTTTCCAAATCAATTTCCTCCCCCGTAACTGCTGCTATTTGTAGTTTTGCCAGCTCTCTACATCACAATCGCTACGGCTCAACTAAATAGGTACAGTACCGGAAAAATTTGATTTTCGAACATTTCCCTACCTTTAAAAAATCCAAGTACTATCTCTTTTAGAAGACAAAGTCAGAGGGGTTGAAAACTATACTCCACCTTTAAAATTTTGCCTTCGAGCTCATGCCTAGATAGGCCCTTCCCCAGATGTGAGGGTCCCTTTTAAGGAATCACCTATGATTATGAAATAAGAAGCTACTTAATTCACACAGCCTCCAGCTGTTGGTCTAAACCCACAGCTGCTTTGCTTCATCCCTCCCCACACACTGTCCACACTGAACACAGGCAAGTTAAAGAGGGTCTGAAATGCCTCTTTCTTTACCACATTGTGGCAGATAATAAATCCAGAAACATTACAGCCAGTGGGAGGCAGAAAATGCAGCAATAGTCATTCCCATGTGATCACTAAAGCAGGCAGCTGGTTTTCTTCAGTGCAGATTTGGGGTAGCAGATAACTCTAACAAAACAGTGATAGAGACTGCAAACTTATAAATAAATACAAGCTAATAGACCTGGTGAATGTAGATGCAAAATTTCTCAGCAAAATATTACCAAACCAATTTTTCAGCAGCACATTAAAATGATTATGCAACATGATAAAGTGGAATTTCTCTCTGGGACATAAAGCAATTAATTTACAATCACGTTAACAAAATGAAAGATAAACATCAAATAACATTGCAATAGATGCAGAGAAAGCATTTCACAAATTTCAACATCCTTTCATTAAAAAAAAACCTCAATAAACTGCGTGTAGAAGGAACATACCTCAACAAGATAAAGGCCATATATGACAAGTCCAGAGTCACTATCTTATTCGTGGTAAAAGGCTGCAAGCTGGTCATCTAAGATCAGGAACAAGACTAGGATGCCTGTTGCTACTCCTATTCAACATAGTAATGGAAATCCTAGCCAGAGCAATTAGGCATTAAAAGGAATTCAAAGGAATCCAAATTGGAATGGAATAGGTCAAATTGCCTCTGTTTGAAGATTCTATAATCTCATATATGATCATACATGAGATGTCATATCATAATCAATCAAGAAGTTGTTCTGTAGGGATGAACCTACTGGTGTGAATTAGAATTAGTCAGCAGTGGATCTAGACCAGCCATGGGGTCTTGAGTGCCCCTGTCCACACCCACACGCTGACTGCCATTCCCTCTCTCTGCCAGTAACCTATGCTCTACACTCATGTCTTCCGCCTGTTCACCCGATCCATCCTCAAACAATACAGAAGTTTAGCAAAAACAGACACTTGCTAATCAAATGGTCATTGTTGTAGACTGCCTGTGATTGTTCCCAGAATATGTCCATTAAAGTTCAAGAAAACATTTGTTATAGTTGAGAGACTGTTCATTCATCCATCCTAGAAATACTGATCAACAGCATTTGATAATCAAA